AAAAAAATATTATATACAAAATTATCGCTAAATTATTTTTCTTTTGGGACAAATAATTACTCAAAATTCTTCTAGAATGGTGAAGAGTCATTTCAAAACAGGTAAGTGACTGCTAATCCTTTGGCTGTGTCTGCGGGAGTAAAAAGAGCTCAGAAATGAGTTGGCAATAAACTCTAGTTTTGACAAATAGTCTGTTAATCTGAATAAAAAAAGTTTAATTTTTTTTAAATAATATTTTGAATTTGAATATTGTGAATGAAAAAATAAATATTAAAAGAACTTTTTCTCATATCGGGTCTAATTCGATTTAATTTTAAATTAGTTAAAATTTAATGTGATTTTTGAATATTGAGAAATTAATAAAAAAAAAAAAAACTCTGGCTTTGGAAAGTGAAATTAAGTTCCATCAGAATCATATTGTCATTAACAGATCCATCAGAATCACATCGTCATTAACAAAGAAAATCAGCATACAATTGCATCCCGTTTGGTTCCATGACCCCATTTTTTACATTTTACTTTTCGTTTTCAAGGGTACATTTAGTTTGAAGAGAAGGAAGGTGAAAATTCATTTATTTAGTTATAAAAAAAAAATGAGAAAGAGGGAAAAAAAATCTCTTATTTTATTTTACTTTTAATTAATTTATTTATCTAAATAAAGAAAGAAAAGATATTCATTTTATTTCCTTTAAAGCAAAGGTGTGTTAAGCATTGAGTTTGATTCAATCCATCTTTATAACTAATTTATAGGCCGGAAGCCCATCATGATGAGTGTGGGCCTGGATTAGTATTGGTGTCTACAAAGCCGGCGCAAAAAGGTAGTTGGGAAGCCTTCTCTTTATATCACAGCCAGGTTTCGATTGGTGTCTACAAATCCGTCTCTGCGAGACTTCGTTGACATTCCGATTTGCATCAACTCTCTCTCATTTTAACAAAAAGGGTAAATCATTGAATTTCAAAAGGTCATTTCCATTGGTTCCTTCTCTGTTATCGTCAATAGCACGGATTGTATTTGAAAAATTCAATGGATCGTACGACTCAGTGGAGATGATGAATTATAGCCACATAATGGGGTGTATATAGTAGATGTTGGGATTAAGTTGCCATCATGGGATTGTGTTTGAAAAGTTCAAGGAATCGGGGGAGGCAAGGAGGCAAGGAAAGGAGGTGATGCCAATGGAGATAATTAACTGAGATTTAAAATTTTTTTTCTAACTAAATAAATATTTTTTTTTCTTTTCCTTCCTTCTTTCCTATTATCCTCAATTCAAATTTATTGTAAATGTAATGAAAACCAAATTAATAATAGTAGTTTTTTGGGTTTTCTGCCTGATATCCGGGGCTTCACCTTGACTAATTCGGTTCGACTCGATTGGCGCACCCGATGGTGGATTGAATCTCTCAACGAAAGCTGCTACGTACACGAAGACTGCTGCGTACACGAGATTTCGAACTCGAGATCTTACTTAAACTGGAACAAGCCACAAATCACTTGATCCAACCCCTTGTTGGTCAAATTAATAATAGTAGTAACTAGTACATTTTTATTATTAAAAAAATAGTAACATTATTATTAGAACTTTTTTTTTTTTACAAAAAAAATACAATGTTAAATTAGTATATATTTAAAAAAAATTACATCTAAAACTTAATCTATAAATTAAAATACATTTGATCTATTTTTCACTTAAAAAAAACGTAACTATCACTACGGTCACTTGGGGAATGCTACTATTAGAACTTGTTTGGCTTCTTTTGGTTTAATACTAGCACTTGTTATCTCTCAATCACAATCAGTGGGGGCAGATTTTGTGGTCCAACGTGTAACGATAATTTTGGTCCTTACTACTCTCTAATCCTTATCATTTTCCATGTGATAAGATAAGAAGGGTTTCTTATTATTTCTCATCCATCCTCTATCCGGCCGCAATTATTAGGTTTTATTTTGTCTCCTCCCCTGTTCCATGAACCAAACGCAATGTTCTCTTTTTCTGATGAGATCAAGTCCAGCCACACACACACTTTGGTTTTGTTAGGCCGCATGGGACCGTGCCTCCGACGCAAAATTAACATAATAATATAATGAAAGAAAATTGCAGAAAACACATAATATAACCACCGAAAAGTAATGTGTTATGTACGTTGTGACTCAGTTCCACGTACTTATATAAAACTGTTGAGAATGCAACAAACGTGTAGTCAACCTCTCTCATCGTCGCCTAGTACTGGTAAAAAGCAACAAACAAAAAAAAGCTGCCTATTTTCTTTGACATATATATTACCAAAGAGTCTGCCTTTTTGGTAATTCACATTGTAGCATCCTACCAAACAGAAACAGGGATAATGGAATTGGAAGGACTTTAATATTTAGAGTTTA